CTTCATTAAATTTATATAAAAAGTACGGTGACCATTTTAAAATGTAAGAACATTGTATAGCAAGGCAAAGAAAATAAGTCTGCGAATTTACAGAAAATCTGGAAGAATGGAGTACTTTGGTCGATCAAATGGAAAGAGGAGCGGAGCGCCAATTTGCACAAAGAAAAAAAGATAAAGGAGAGAAAGGAACAGAAACCGGAGAGAAAGNGAACAGAAACCGGGGAGAAAGAAAAGAAGAAAAAGAAAAATAAGGAAAGAAAGCGGGGGGTACGGTAATAAAATTTCTCCTCCTCAACTTCTCTATCTTTCTTTCACCACTAGCAGTTCCCTCAAAAAATTCTTCAGTCAAAAGTTTATTCGTTATATTCACCAATGTCATCTTCTTTTTAATTACTCACAATTTTATCACGTTTTCCACTTTCATTTTAAACCAATCCACATAGCTTGGACATGAGGCAATTCGTCAAAGCCAATACAGGTGAGGCTTTAATTTTCATAGCAGAAGCCTATTTGTTAATTTGAATTTTTATTTGTATTCTTTAACTGTTTGACATTGTGTATTTTTTAGCACAAAAAAGAACACTACTTCGGAAGTACTAGATATTACGAGGACAGAGACATTTAGGATTTAAATTTTATGGATTCAACCTTTAAAATTATTAGTAATGAACCTATTATATTTTAAAAGTTATGGATTCAGACCCACTATGTGTTATAATTTCAATAATTTGTTACACCAAATTTATACTATGCGTCAAAAATATTAGGTTCAAATGAACCCATTACTATAACACTACGTACGCCTCTGATGAGTGAGTCAACAATGCAAGATTTTTTAATGTTTTCATGCTAGATTAAATATGTCGAGACTCGACAATATCAGTAGGTCAACTTTTTTGGACTATTTTCTGTAATTTATATTTGAGTTTGTATTTTCATATTTGACAATTTTTTCTGGAAATTAAATGGTTAGGAAAGTAAGGGAGAAGATAAGAAGAAAAGATTAAAAGGTAAAAGATGAGAAATAGGTGTCGCATCACATATATACGTTTACGTTATTAAGAAAAAGGATCAGCTATCTCACAATAAAACTCAATAAGAAAAAACTGGAAAAATATAAAATCATATGTAAATATAAAATTGATTAAAACTTGAACTCTAATACATTAGATTTTATGACTAATATAATTTTAATATACAGGTATTAAAAAAATTATTTAAATCTTTTATTAATCGCGCGAAGCGCGAGTAAATTTACTAGTTTGTAATAAACCATTGACACAATATAGGATCAGCATTTCGCGAAATTAAGATTTCTAACTCGATTTTTGAGACATTGAGCTATGGTAAGTTGATTTTGTCCTTAATTAAGCATATTAAATAATTTTTAAATTGCCCTTTTTTATTTTATCTTCAAAGTAAATAAATGGGACCCATGAATCTACTTGTCAAGTAATCAAGGGCCACATATAAGTATGATGTGGAATATAATATAAGACTGTGGAGAGTAATAACAATAATATAAATGAAGTAGTTAGTGAAGTAACTTAAGATTACTATAGTTTAGTTTAATCATAGTTTAGCTATGTATAATTAGTAATTAGTTGGTCCAACTGTATCTGTAGATAAGAGGTCGTTGCTACTATACAGAGGCAATTAATTGAAAATGAAGATTCTCTTTCTTCCCCAATTTCTTCTCCTCATTTCTTAGTCTCAAAATTCAGTTTCATTTCACAAATTCAACATGGTATCAAAGCAGATTATCGATTGATTCTAGGGATTTCTTTGCTGAGACGAAGTAAATCAAGAGAATCAGCTCAAATTTTCTCCTTTTTTTTCAATCTCTGTTAAAATCAGAAACGAGGATTTCGCGATCGGAACCCTAATTCTTCTTCAATTGAGTAATTACGAGTGAATTTCTACAATATTCATGGTGATTGATGATAATTCATGTGATAGCACCAATGCGACACCGATCGGACCTATTCTCGACCACAATCATCCACTCTGCTTGCATCCATCTGATGGATCAGGTTCGTTGTCAATTGGCTTATTGTTAACTGGAATGGAAAACTACATGTTATGGAGTCAAGCTATGAAAGTAGCTCTCTTAGGAAAGAACAAATTATGTTTGGTAGACGGTACCACCTCAAAAGGTGATTTTGGACACGGATTAGCTCATCAGTAGGATCGTTGCAACGCTATCGTTACTTCGTGGCTGATGAGCAATGTTAATTCACATCTCCTTACTGGTGTTTTGTTCTTAGAAAATGCTCAAACTGTTTGGGCACGACTTAAGAAATGATTTGACAAAGTAAATGCTTCGAGGCTTTACTATTTGGACAAAGAAATTTTTATTTTAACACATGGGATATCATCTATTTCAGTCTATTTTACAAAGCTAATAGACCTATGGGCAGAGCATGATGGAATATTACCACCACCTCCTGTTAAGGATTATGTTGAACAGAGAATTTCAGAGGTTACTGCAATTCTTAATGGGGTTGAATGATAGTTTTGAGCAAGCCAGAAGTTAGATTTTTATGATGCCTAATGTCCCTTCCATTAGCCAAGTATATACTATGATAGTTTAAGATGAAAGCAGAAGATTAATTTCGAGTAACCACTTCAATACTCATACAGGACAAGTTGAGCCTACTGCCATGTTTACTTCACAATCGGGGAATAGGCCTGTGAATTTTGTCAGTACAAGGGGCACACAAAAGCAAGCTGCTATAGGTTGATGTAGTGTCAGTTCTGTAACAAACCAGACCATTCGAAGGAGAATTGCTATAAAATAGTTGGCTATCCATCTGATTTTAAACCTAAGACAAGAGCTAATGTTGTAGCACAAATAGAAAGCAATGTCTCACAAGAAGCAAACAAAGGAGTTCCAACACACATGTTCACAAATGAACAATACTATCAGATTTTGCAACTATTAAACAAAAGCTCAATTGGTGAATCTAGTGGTACTATGGCAGCAACGGCATGTACTTTCCTTTACAATAACATTAGCATTTCTAAGTGGATTGTGGATACATGAGCTAAACCATATGATAGGAAATAAAGATTTGTTGCACCATGAAACACAAACAGAAAATGTAGACCAGGTTCAACTGCCAACAGGGGATTCTGCCAAAATTACCAATATAGGGGATTGTCAATTGTCAGGAGGTGACATTATTAAGAATGTCTTATGTGTTCCTGCCTTCAAGTTCAATCTTTTGTTTGTCTCCAAAGTGACAAAAGACCTAAACCGCTTTGCTTCCTTCTTTCCTACATTTTGTGTCTTTCAGGATCTTTTGTCTAGGAGGGTGAAGGAGATTGGTAAGGAAGAAGATGGGCTATACACCATGATACCAGTGTAGTCACACAAAAGAATGCATTTTTACATCTTTGAAGCAAGGAGATCCAGATATCTGGCACAATAGAATGGGTCATGTACCTCTACCAGTTCTTAGGAAACTATAATGTTTCAGAAACAGTTTAGATTTTAATAATGCCCATAGATGTGAGATTTGCCCTTTGGCAAGGCAAACTAGAATGCCTTTTTCAGTAAGTACTACTAGAAGTATTGAAGCTTTTAAAATAATTTATAAGGATGTTTAGGGACCTCATAAAGTTGCTACCTATAATGGAATAAAGCTTTTTCTTACATTAGTGGATGATTACACTAGATGGACTTGGAATTTTCTGTTAAGACTGAAATCTGATGTAGTTTTCATTCTTAAGAATTTTCTTGCTATGGTTAAAACTCAATTTGGCAAGTCTGTCAAGATGTTCAGGTCAGATAATGGGAGTGAATTTTTTAATACTCGCTGTAGAGAATTGTTTCAGCTACATGGGATCTTACATTAAAGTTCATGCCCTTACACACCTCAGTAGAATGGGGTGGTAGAAAGAAGACACAAATACATTTTAGAGTTTACAAGGGCTATCAGATTTCAAGGTCATCTACCAGCTAGATTTTGGGGAGATTGCATTGAGACAGCTGTGTTTCTCATCAATAGAGTGCCATCCACTGTCCTTGGTAATAAATTACCTTTTGAATTGTTGTATCACAAATAGCCTTTTCTATCTCATTTGAGAATCATAGGATGTTTGTACTTTGCTTCATTATTGCCTAAAATTGACAAGTTTGGGCATCGAGCTGTGAAGTGTGTGCTATTGGGGTATGCAGCACTCCAGAAAGGATACAAGCTTCTTGACCTTGAGCACAATATATTCTTTATTGGCAGAGATGTAACTTTCTTTGAAGATTCATTCCCTTTCCAGAATCCAAAGTAGGGAACTGACCAATCCTTTCTAGATGATTTGAATATAAGAACACTCCATGATCATAGTAATGCAAATCATGAGTGTTATCCTCCTCATACGTTAGCTCCTGCTGCTGATTCATCCATTATCCCTACTTCAGAGAATTAACCAGTGCTCAACTCAGATTAGGGGTACCTAGAGACTGCTCCAACTCCTCCAATATCCACTCCAATTCCTCGAGTATCAAATCCTTCAATTTCTGTGCTAACTACAGTTCCAGAATTGAGTGTACCACCTATTGAGGGTGCTAGAAAGTCAAGCAGAACTTCTAGACCTCCCATCTGGCTCAAGGATTATGTAAGAGTTGACAAAGCTATACAAAGTAACAGTTGCAGATATCCAATAGCTACTGTCATAGGCTATAATCAATTGTCACCCAAGTATCAACGTTACTTATCTCAAATTTCTTTAGAACAGGAACCCAATAGTTACTATGAGGCTGCAAAGGGTAAGAGCTGGATTGAGTCTATGCAGGCAAACATAAAGGCACTGGAGGATAACAAAACTTGGGAGATAGTACCATTACCTCCAGGAAAAGAGCTATAGGGTGCAAATGGGTATACGAAATCAAGTACAAGGCAACTGGAGAGGTTGAGAGGTTTAAGGCACGACTTGTAGCCAAAGGATATAATCAGAAGGAAGGGTTGGATTACCGGGAAACCTTTTCACCAGTAGTGAAGATGGTGACAGTCAGAAGTGTAATTGCCTTAGCTGCTGCCAAGCATCGGACCATCCATCAAATGGATGTGTACAATGCTTTTCTACAAGGTGATTTAACTGAAGAAGTATTCATATGTATTCCACCTGGCTTTGTAGGCTGTAACAACAGGTCACTGGTACGCAAATTGCATAAATTACTCCATGGACTTAAGCAAGCATCTCAACAATGGAATATCAAACTCACTGCAACACTACTTGCATCAGGATTTCAACAAAGCCACTTAGACTATTCCTTATTCACCAAAAGATCTTCAGGGCAGCTGGTGGTGCATCAGAGGAAGTATAGTTTGGAGTTGATTGCTAACTTGGGTTTATCAGGTTGTAAACCTGTGAGTTCACCTTTGGAATTGAATGCCAAGTTGACCACATTGGAGTTTGATACGCGCACAGGCTCTACAACTGATGATACTCTATTAGAGGATCCAAGACCATACCAAAGATTACTTGGAAGATTATTGTACTTAACAATCACTAGACCTGACATCTCATTTATAGTTCAAACACTGAGTCAGTTTATGCACAATCCTAAGTCTTCTCATATGGATGCTGCTCTCAGAGTTGTGAAATATATTAAAAATTATCCTGGCTTGGGGGTGTTAATGAAAGCTGATTATTCTGGCTCACTAGCAGCTTTCTGTGATGTTGATTGGGCAGATTGCCCCAACAGTAAAAGATCAATAACAGGTTATCTAATGAAGTTTGGTGATTCCCTCATTTCATGGAAGTCCAAGAAACAATCAACAGTTTTCAGAAGTTCTACTGAAGCAGAGTATAGAAGTCTTACTTCAATTGTGGCTGAGATTGTTTGGCTTACTAGTTTGTCTAAAGAGTTAGGGTTGCTCAACAAAATCTAGTTCCTATTTACTGTGATAGCAAATCAGCAATCCAAATTGCTATCCGCTCTTTCACGAACGGACCAAACATATAGACATCAATTAGCATTTTGTGTCATTTTGTGCATGAGAAGATCCAATCAGGATTGATCCACATTGTCTATGTCAATACTGCTGATCAACAGGCTGATATTTTCACTAAAGGCTTGAGCAGAATACAACATAGCTATTTGTTATCCAATGAAGATTCTCTTTCTTCCCCGATATCTTCTCATTATTTCTTAGTCTCAAAATTCAGTTTCATTTCACAAATTCAACAGAGACACCAAAAAAATCTCTTTTTTTTTCCCACGAAATCGTACTGAGTTCAATACTATAATACAAGGACAAAAATCATGATAAAATAATTGTATTACTCTAAAAGTCTGTGTTTAAATTATTCTCATCACTAACAACATTGCATTTTTCAGTTGGTGATTCTCTCTATGATGGTGTCAAAATAAAGTGAAACGGAAAAAAGAAAAAAACTCTATGGCAAGCACCAACTACATATTAGCACCAAATAAATAAATAAATAACTAAATAAACAACCTAAAAGTAGGTGTGAAGCCCCATTACAATGTTTCGGGTATCTAGGCTATATCTTGTTGGGTTACATGGTTACAATTTTTTTTGGGCTATGTAGATGAAATATATGTGCTGGATTGTATTATTAATGTACAAATATCACTTCTTCTTTTTTTCTCCATGAAATCGCACTGAGTTCAATAATATAATACAAGGACTAAAATCATGATAAAACAATAATATTACTCTAAAATTTTATGTTTACATAATTCTCACCACCAACAACATTGCATTTTTCAATTGGCGATCTATGCTGGTGTCAAAATGAAGTAAACGAAAAAAAAAACCTCTATGCCAAGCACCAACTAAATATTGGCACCAAAAAAAAAAAAAATTTAAACAATCTAGAAGTAGGTATGAAGCCATGTTATATTGATCCAAAATTCATAAACTCAAAATTCTGACTTCGCCTCGACCTAGAAAAAACAAATTCCAAGCATGCCGACGATGGAAAACCACAAGAAAGAATGGGATGAAACAACACTTGCTTTAGATAGATAAGCATTTCCTTGGACATTCTTTGCCTGAGAACCACTAACTTGTATATGAACTTTTTGGCCAATTTGGCAATGGCCAGGAACCCCGCAAAGATAATAGTAATCGCCAGGGGCTGAAAGTGTAAAAGAGTCTTTGCCTGTATTTAAAGTGGCTATTGGAGATGCAACTGTACATGAATAATATTCTTGGCTACTCACTTGCATCACATTGTGGTATTTGTTGTTGTAATTAAATTCTGCAAGTTCAATTGACACCCTCAATTAGTCCATAGAAAATAAAATAAAATAAAATAAAGAAAATTGACAACTTTTCCATGTGAAATTAACAAGTTTTAGCAAAATTTCTGTAGTCTTTTATTATTATTATTATTATTTTTGGAGTAGTTGCAAGAATTTACCATGGGAAAAAGGGACTAAGTCAATTAGTGGAACAACTTACTCACACTCGTTGTTTCCATTAAATTATATAAATTTATTATGATTAAATAATACAATAAACTTGTTGGATTTTCAGGGTGTGAATTAGAAAAGGTATCTTTTAGATTGCACCGCTCCATCTCAATCTCTCATTGTCTATAAATTCAGATGTTTAATCTTATTTTTCAAACACTGCAAATTCTGATAATTATCCCCACTTTTTTGCATTATTCCAAAATAAACATAAGTGTCAAGTGTGATTTGTTCCGTCATTTGAGTTCGCCGAAATTCTGTAATTTGAAGTGTCGCTTCCATTCTATCCTAGGATAACTTAATTCACAACCCTAGACAACGATGAAGGGATTAAATTCATTAAGGACACATAGTGAATTTTGTAAATTCGAAATAATTTCTTATTTCTGTTTGGATCAACATTCTTTATTGATTTAATGATTTTAGACCCCACTTATGGGAAACTATTGAATTTGTTATTGTTGAAGTATAACACATTATACAAACAGAACTAATATATGGTAAATAACCTTAATTAATAGATATGTAAAAGCAAATATTGAAGACATTCATGTTATCATTCGTTTAGTGTAAGCATCGAATGTGAATAAGTAAAAAAATACTCCGAAGAATATACAACATGAGGATAGAGGAAAGGACTACTTACTCAAGATGTCATTAACTTGAAAATTCTTTGAAGAAGCCCAATCATTATAATCAACGTTGCCTACTATCCAACCTTTAGAATCACCAACTTCATACACAGCAGCCGTGGAGAGTTCAACTGAATTAGCAGCCATAATAAAGCACAGAAGCATTATTGTTCTTTTGGTGAAACCCATGGCTGAACTTGAATATTAATGCACTAATTAATGGATGCAAAAGCCCCTTTAAATAAGCACCATAAAACTATATTTTACTAGGAAAATATTTTTATTATTTGGAAATTTTGGTTTCTCAATTTGTAGAAATTAATATTAAGGAAATAATTAAAGTAATAAGAGCTTAATTAAGCGCCTAAATGTAGCAGGAAAAGAATGGTTTCAATTTCATTATTACGAAATTCCCTTCCTACTAATAGAAAAGAATATAATAGGAAAATTTCCAAACTCAAAGCTTTCCCCAAAAAACGAAAAGAATATTTAAAGAAAGAATTTATTCAAGTAATTCGACCCAAATACATTTAGTTGTGGGCAACTACAATAACTAAATTTTATTTTTTTCTCAAAAATTTAGGGGACAAACACTAATTACACACGTACCTCGTAGCACCTCTATAAAGTTCCAAATTAAACATGGTAAGTAGTACTTGTATGATTTGATTTTTGGCAATAATACGTTTACTTATTACCTTTAGTTTCATTGGAACTTCTAAAGTTCTTGGAAATTAAATTTCCCAAATTAAAGTAGTAAGCATGTTTCCTTAAATTTTAGTCCTAGCTACGCCTTTAAAAGTACCTTAGAGACTTATTCATTCAAGTCATTAGCACTAATAAAACTCCACAAAATCTCTAATTCTTCCTTAGTATATATTAGCATTGAGATATTATATATACAAGTTAACATATGGTTTCTTAAAAGCAATGATGGTTTTGTTGGTGGTGATGATGTCTATTTTGGATCTACCATGGCAAATGTGTATCAAGTTGGTGATTCTAAAGGATGGACTTTCAACTACAATTATGATACATGGACTTTTTTTAAGAACTTTCAACTTGGCGATACCCGTGGTAAGATCTTCATCATCTTTTTTGGCTCCCTCAATTTCAGCATTATTATAAATATGGTGAAATCTCTTTATAACAGTCTCATCTGTTCCGATATTTTTTGATTGTTATAGTAAAATGATGTTATATAGAATATATATTATAACATAACATAAAAAATTATCCAAGGAAAACTTGACTGTTAAAATAAAATATTATTATAGAGGATGACTATTATAGAGATGTCGAATTAAAATTCTTTTTGTCTGGTTATTTTATTCAGAAACTAGGCATCATAATCTTCCGAAAGTATAGTAATTAATAACTTATAGCTACGTGATTATTTTGAAGCGATTAGAGTAGGGGAAATTTATATAACAAAACTTCAAATTAATATAGAGAGATATAGAGAAAGAGGGAGTTGGAATATATAGCACCAACATGTAATTTCAAATGACAATGATGTGAAAGCAGATGCTAGTCAGATTAAATGACACTCATATTAAGTAGATTTTTTTTTTATTGAGTTTTGATTTTTGCAACTAAACAAATACATACATTGTTGAATTGTATGACCAAATTTAGAAAGTCTAACACATTTATTATACATGTTTGTGACATCTAGTCTTTTTAGTTAACATAAATTCTTTGTTATGATTAGAGCTGTCAGTTTAGATTTGGTTGATAGGGTTGTGCTAAAAATTTTGAGACCGACCCATATTGACTATTGACAGCTCTAGTTTAGATAGTGTTTTATCGTACAGAAGACCTTACATATGAGTTGTGTAACATGCAGTTTTCAACTACGACCCGCGGTTGCACAATGTGAAACAAGTGAACATCGACGACTACAACACATGCAGCAATAAAACTCTAATTGCCAGTTTCAATTCCGGCAGCGATTCAGTCATCCTCGCAACTCCAGGGGACTATTATTTCTTGTGTGATATTCCAGGTCATTGTGCTTCTGGACTCAAACTTCACGTTATAATTGCAGCTCCAGCAACACCTCTAGTGACTCCAATAGCCCCAACAAAGGGTTATCCTGATCATTTTCCTAGTAATCCCACAAACAAGCCACCTGAAACTTTGCAACCTTATCATCCCTCTGCAAATACTGCTTATTATTCATCCAAGTGGTTTCCAATGAGCATGTTATTTTCGTTGATTCTTGCTCTTTGTTTTTAATTATAATTGGCTTTGGCTCCTAGGAATGGTTGAGACACTAAAATTGTAGCTCATAATATATAGTACCTTGTTTTTTTTTTGGGGTGGGGGTGGGGGTG